CGTTTAATCGCTTACGTCTAGACGCACCCGATCGCACCTAGTGGTCTGTTTACGTCGTCACCTCAAGTAATCGACTAGTCGCCAATCAGTATTTTTTATTTCGTTCGACAAAAATGACTACTAGTGAACTTGTGATTGCAGCACATTTGCTTATAGAAGAAGCAGAAGACGATGACATTTTGCTATTATCATTAATGCAAAAAAAGCGTAGAACGGTTCATAAAATGTTTGTTCAAAGAAGAAAGGAAGGGTGCTTTAGTACGCCAATATTGAGACATTCAATTGAAGATGAAACTAAATTCAAAGAATATTTAGGCTTACTAAAAGTCAATTTAATGATTTGTTAAATATTGTATCAATTGATATATAAAATTTTTTTGGAGCTTATTTTGCATCAGTAGCAGGCGATTAAATAAACGTGTGCGTTTAAATTGCCTGACGACCAATTTTGCCGTAAGACGCGTCGTCTTTGGCGATTTTTATCGACTTGTCGCTTAAATCAGACCATCATTATGATATCACTATTAAAAGCTGTTTTTTCAATAGAGTTGGGGTGAAGTTCGATTTGGTGAAATCCCTGCGCTTAATCAAGAGTTGTAAAATAAGTTGCTTTGTCTAAATTGTCTGAAATTTCATCAATTTTCGGCAGAGGATATTTGTCGCCAATTGTATTGTTTAATTTACGATAGTCTATTACCATACGAAATTTTTTCTGGCCGAAATCGTCGGCTTTTTTTGGTACTATCCAAACGGGGGTTAAATAGGGTGAAATTGAGGGTCTAATTATTTAATTATCTAATAATTTATTAACTTGTCTGGTAATTTCTTCTTGCATTACCTTTGGATGCCGAAATCCTCTAACATAGGATTTTCATCCCGAGCCCTAATTGAATACTTTATAGCTGAAGTAAAAAATAATTCTTTATATTTCTTGCATAATTTTAAATTTTTTTCTTTTTCTTCTAAATTTAAATATTGAGTAGAAATCTTGGAAGGGTCAAAATTTATCGGCCTTTTAAAATTTCATAATTATCTAAATTTTCTACTTGTATTTGTTCTAATTGTTCGGGGCTAGGGAGACAAATGTCTTTGTAACCGTTTGTAACAGTGTAGATTGATTCGGAAATTTGTATGTTGTTTATTTTAATTTCGGGGAAAATAATTTCGCCACTACTTATATTAATTGCAATTTTGTTATATAAGGTGTCGAAAGGGATGATAATATCAAAAGCTCTTAATGTAACTGTTTTACATTGGTGGTCTATTAATTAACGTTCTAAAACATAATTTCCAAGTAAAATATCGAAATGTTTACTCCAATCAGCAATTCTAGCATCGATAGTTTCATATATGTTAAATTCTTTAAAAAGGCCATTTAATATTTGACAAAAATGTTTGAGTAATTTTCATTCACGTTAATGTAAATGGTTTTTTATATTTGTGAGTTGGATCAAAATATATCTCAACTTTTGGTGAAATGATAGTGTCCGAACGTCCTGAATCAATAAGTACTTTTAGTCTTGTTTTAGGCATAATAAAATAGGGTAGCTGGGGATAATTATGAATATTATTTAGGTCTATTGAGGCGGCGGTTGTCCTTCTGAAAAACCGACCTGAAAATGTTCCTGGTGAAAGTTTTCTGTTCCGTCATCGTAATTTTCTGTATCATTAGATTTAAAATTTCCGGGCATAGATTCGGAATTTTCATCCCTGGAAGTATCTATGTTAAAATTATACGTCCTTCTTGTGGATAAACTCATAGGTTGATTTTTTGTAGTAATTGTTTGTACACCACTCATGGAAGTGGGAGAACTTTGATGATTTTGGGAATTTCTAAATTATATATTAAAATTTTGGGGGTTATTTCGGAAAGACGAATGCCTTTAAAATAAGGGCTTTTGAAATTTAATGTTTCAGGGTTATAATTTGGTGATATGTGTTGTAATAAGTCATTTAAATTGTCGCACGCTCTCTGGTGATAATCGTAATATGTCTCGTTGGTTGAATTTCAGTCCAAACTGTTTTATTAGTAAAATTTAAATAGTCTCTAGGTTCACCCTTAATACGAGAAGCAATATTGGCTTTTAAAATAAATTCTTGTGGTTGGGTTAGATTTTGATTAAGTGGAGAGGTTATCTCCTATAGAACATTCAGGTAAAGTAGCACAAAGGCTAGAAATATCACTATTAGTCATAGACATTTCTGGGAGAAGAACGTTTCTAAGATTTTCAGAAGGATTCTGAGAAAGTTGAGAACTATTTGCTTGAGCCTAAATGTCCGTAGTCACTTATTTGAGACCGGATAATAATACGTGTAAGTTTTCTTCGGAAATATTATCAAAAGTGCTCATATACAATTGTAGGATTGGTAATTTAGGACATTTACTTTTGAAACTTATAGAAAATACTAATTTATTTGAAAAAAGACTTACACATAATTAATTCGAGACGAAAATCTATGGTTTAATTTATGTATTCTAACTAATTTTCGTTATTAAACGGTCGAACACCATCTGATAGGTCTGCTAATTTTACGCATATCAGTAAATTGGGCTGTAGTGTGATAGATCTGGTTTGGATAAATAATTTATACTTGCAACGTGTGGATAATTTTTTTGTATATAATAATGAACTGACTTCCGATCATTTTCCTATTTGTCTAAAATTAAATTTTGAAAATTACAGATCAATAACTAATATAATAACTAATACTAATAATATACAGAGAAAATTATGTTAGAATAACAATTTTACTTTATCCTTTAAACTTATCATGCGTGATTCAAATAGGGTACATTTTATTGAAAATATAGATGACTCTTATAACAATTTTTATGCAGCTGTACATGAGTCCGCTGATAACTTAAACTTAGTAAAGACCATTTCTTCCAAAACTGTCATAAAAATGGGACTAAGAAAACCTTGGTTTGATGATGCTTGTTATGCCACAAAAAAACAATTAAATTTAGCTCTTTCACATTGTCAAAACAACAACTTTTCCCAAGATACTCTAAATAAATACATAAATAAATATGAAAAAGAATATAAACAAATAATCAAATTTAAACGTCGTAAATTTGAGGCAGAAATGATCTCTACATTATCAAGTTGTAGAAATCCTAAAGAGTTTTGGTGGACAATAAAACAATTTCATTCATTTAGAAATATTCACCCTAATCTCACCATAGAAATGTGGGAACATTTTTATAATAATGTTTATCTTCCTAGAATTTTAGATACCACCAAGTTTTTCGATGCTTTGCCTCCCTACCTTGACGCTAAAATATCCACAAAGGAATGTTATACAGTAATAAACGCTTGCAGAAATAATAAATCTCCTGGTACTGACGGCATTTCTTATGAGTATTTTAAAAATCTCCCCAATAATTGGATTCTATATATTACACTCCTATTTAACAACGTTTTTGATTCTGGCATAATGCCCCGAAAGTGGACCGAAATGTCACTTAGTATGCTTCATAAAAAAGGTCCTTTCGATGATCCTTCAAATTACCGGGGATTAGCGTTAATAAACTGTGCTGCTAAAATTTTCACACATTAATCTGAACAGGTTGGTAACCTGGTCTGAAACTAACAATATTTTGCCGGAATCACAAGCTGGTTTTTGACTGGGGTATAGTTGCATTGATAATGTGTATACGTTAACCTCTGTAATTCAACAGTATATTAGATTAAAATAGCGGAAAATGTTTGCAATATTTGTTGATTTGAAACGTGCTTTTGATTCCGTCACCCATTTCTTGATCTGGTTCAAGCTGTTTAATTTGGGTGTAAGTTCTAGAATTATAACTATAATACGCCAACTATATGAAAATGCAGAATTCCGTATTAAATTTTCTGATGGAATTTCTAAATCCTTTGAGCTCACATCTGGTGTTTCACAAGGCGAATCACTTAGTCCTTTACTTCTTGCTCTATTTATTTTAGACATTGTTAACTTCTTTGCGACTAGAGGCGCTAAAGGTGTTAATATTGACAACAAAAATGATGTTACTTTCTTGTTATACGTTGATGACCTTGTTATACTCGCAGATTCAGAAGTGGATATTGGTAGAAAATTAAAATTATTGGAAGAATACACCTTAATAAACCATTTAACAATTAATATTGACAAAACAAAAATTATGGGGAAGGGCGCTATGGGTGCCATGCCCCCTGCCTAGATGAAAATTCTTACGATTTATAAGCCTTTTATTCAAAAAAATATGCTAAAAAGAGAATGGCTAAAGGCAATGGAACTCACCGAAAATTCGTCTCGGAGTCGCCCTTGGTTTTTATGTTAAATTATTTGCAAATATTAACTATTATTTTATGTTTTCTAGAAAAATTACCAATCTCTTGTGTTGTAAGAAGTCAATACTAGGAATTTTTAAAACAATAATTGTGGTATTTATAGATATGACTGTTTTGTGTTGTTTTTAATTTTTTGAATATATAATTATGTTTTTTAAAAATTGTACCTAGTTCTTGTTAATAATACAATAATGGAACTTATACAAATGTTTTTTTATTTTTCATTTAAAATAAGTGACGTGTTTCGTTTTTCAGCATTTACTTACAATAATAATTCATTTTACTTATCGATTGTTTTAATTATTGTAAATAAAATCTGTAAAATAGAAAAATGTTACATAAAATTGCTTCAAATTTCATAAATTTTAAAGACCGTCATTTTTTAAAGCTCTTTACTTTGTAGTGTTCTACTTTACCTACTGTACCGCTTACTGCGCTGCTATCGAGTTCAAGCAAACCTATTACCAACTATTTACAGGAAAAACGGCTACCCTGGCCCTGGGTAGACCGCTTCATTATTTCTAATCCTAATACCCAGGAATAATTACCGATAGCATCCCTACCACCTCTTAACGATACTCCGTAGTTGCCGGTTTTTGTTTTAATCATTCGTTATTCTGTCCCACCCTGTATTTACTTTTCTTTAACTTGGATATAATATAGTGATCTAAAAACTTGTTGTTTTAGGTTATTATGGAGTGTTTTTGACGGCTGTTTGTCTTTACATCTTCGGATTTCTTTACGGATTATATTGGATTAAAGAAGCCCATGAACCTATAAAAACTTCCGAAGTAGGAATGCTGCGTGATATGTTCAACCCCAAACACGTCATTGACACATTTAATTTGGTTTTAAAGAAGACTCCAGGAGCTAACAGAGAGTATATAATTTTGATGTTAATAGTAGTATTTATTATCAGTTTTGTGGGAACTGGAGAAATAGGTGTATTTTTCCTATATGCTCATACTGAATTCGGTTGGACTACTATTGACAATAGCTATTTTTTAACTTTAAATACTTTGGTACAGCTCATAGGTAAGTTTCTGCAAGAATTTGATTTGATTCTAAACGACTCACTGCTCAAAAGTTGTTTTTACATACCTACTTACTTTTCTTAATAATGAATTGATCTTGTATACAATACGTTTGAAATGAATGCTAAATGCTAAAATTAAGATTAAAAGTTAATTTAAATGGATCATCCTGTAATCTTTATTATTTTGTGAAATTTTGGAGGTATATATTTATTGAATAGTTAAGGTGTTATTTCTAACTTAAAATGAGAATTTTTAAATTGTACCAGTTGTATTTATAAGGGAAAGTCGGGGAATGCCGACCATCTTAGCGAGAATGTCCTTTACTTCTTCGCAAGTGGTGTTTGATTTCTCATATTTTGTGGATTGATAGGGTAATATGACGAAAGTCTAATTTATTTAAAGTTAATTTACTTAAAACACACTATTTACAATTTATTTCAGACGTACTATTTAATTTATATAATACTTAGACACTAACTAACAATTCTAATTTATTTATTACACTTTAACTTTTCTTTTAAACATTTTCAATTAACTGTCTATATATAACTGTCTATTATCAACTGAACTGGGCGCCGATACGTCGGCTATTTATATTAATCCAACTCCGCTACTGGAAGATACGAGAGACTCTCGAACATTCCATTTGTATGACTAAACGGCACTCTCCGCCGTGTCAGCTGTTTCTAGTACATCAGCGGCAGGCATTCCGTCGTATTCTTGTATATTCGAGACGCGGGCCGGCTGTTTCTACACGTCAGCGTCGCTTTGATCACGAGTTGGTTGCCATGTCAAGGTTGCGTGCGTACACAGGGTCGGATTAGGATTTTTATGACATTGCCCTCTCCTTAAGAAATAGTTCCTCCTGGAACTAAAACTGAATGGTTATATTTGCAACTGTATCCTCTTTTCAATTTCCAGTTGCAAGGAAGTAACAAGGGACAGTCTTCGTTATAACCTGAACGTTGGGAGAATGGCTGCAGACCAGCGTTGCTTCGATCACGAGTCGGTTGCCATGTGAAGGTTGCGTGCGTACACAGGGTCAGATTAGGAATTTCATGACATTAATAATACATATCAAATTTACGAACAACGTTGTTTTTTATTTTATTTTAAATCAAATAGGAATGTTCATTTTGGTCGGTTTTAAGCTACGTGGCGGATAAAATCAACCACATAATTGGATAAAACCGACCACGTCGTCTAAAAACGACCAACTGTCTTAATCTTTTGCAAATTTTAGCATAATGTAAAATAACAATATTATTATGCAAACAACAAAACATTAATCTAGAATATGACAAAGAAACATAAATTAACTCTTATACTTCGCAAAAATGTCAAAAATAAAGTTGATTCTGTTCAATGTGAAGATTTTTCGGAGACGCAAGTGACCCACCATTCTTTACCTTTTCCAAATTCTCCGCAGACCGTGCAAGGTTCTGTCGCAATTTCTTTTACCTTGATATTGTTAGATTTAATTGCCCAGTTATTTTTTTTGCATTCGCCTTACTGATTGTTGGCTATTGCAAATCAGGATAACGTGGCGGTAGGGATGCTTCATGTTTCTTTTGGCTTCAACACCTTTCTCCATTCGTAAGCTACACATTTCAGATCACGCGACGAGTCTCTCGTTTGGCTAGAGTGTCTGGAGTGTGTTAAAATAGGGGATTTTTCAGGTACTGGCTTATTGTCAATATTTTTGCCAGAGACATTTTTCTCCAAACTTTTTCTTTGTGGAAATTTTTCCCGTCTAGTCCTGGATCTTGATTGACTAGTTCTAGTTTTAATATTACTACTCACGTGCCGATAAGGGTGATTGTGGCTATTATTTCCACTCCGAGGGCTGTGCTGAGGGGAGTTCTTTCGTACAATGGCTTCTAGTACTGGTGTTTGTAATAGTTTATCTATTCTTTCTCTATTTCTTCTGAAGTACAAATTATCTATGAAGTTTGGGTCATCATGTTTTGCGGATGAGGGGATGTCAGTGGCTACCCTTTCGGGTTCCGCAATAGGCGGTTGTAGAACACTACCGAACTGTTTTGTATACTAAACCTGGCGCGACACGAAATAACAACAATGAAAACTTTGATTTTTAAGTTGAAAACCTGGTAGCCCGAAACTGTACTAAAAGCAGCAGTAAAATTATCGTAACCGTCCCCTGATAAAGTAAAGAGGATTACTGCCTGATTATAAGCAGTTTTAAGTGGACCGTAATAGTAGTTTGTGCAACAAGAGTGGATATGGACAATCCACTCAAGTTGTACAGTATATTTTTTAATAATAATAATAATAATAATAATAATAATTTATTTGCAGTATTACAGGTAAATTTGCATTAAATACATAAATTTTATCGAACAAAATAGTATAATACTACAAAAAGGGAATAGCAGACAGCATAGCTGATATTAATTGCTATCCCTAATAAAGAAAAGAAAAATATTAAAATAATAAAATACAACGAATAAAGTGTGGCACAATCGAGACAAAAATATAAATACACATTTTATAAATGTAATATTACATTTTATTATAATATCTAATGGTTGTTTTGACTAGATATTTTCTGACATCAAGAGATGTTTATACTTTTGCTTAAACATATTTGTCGAAAGATGTTTGAGTTTAGGAGGAACCAGGTTATATAGTTTAAATATCATATAAGAGAATGAACCTTGAAATTTGGAGGTACGATGGAGAGGTGGAGATATATGCCCTCTAAACCTTGTATGCACATTATGCACATCACTTCGAAATGTAATTTTATTATAGAGATAAGGAGGCGACTTTAATGAAATGATCTTATGATACAATGTTACCATGTGTAAATTCCTTCTAGTTTCCATATTTAACCAGTTAGTTTCAATTAGTTTGTGACTTATCCTTTCGTATTTTTTTATACCATATATGTAGCGAAGACAAGAATTTTGTACTCTTTGAATACGATTAATATCCACATAGTCAATACAAGGCCCGTAGACGACATCGCAGTAATTAAAATGACTGAGAACCATAGTATCACAAAGAAGTATTTTTATATTTTGATCTAAAACATGGCGATGCGGGTAAAGCATTTTCAAATTAGCGTAATCCCTTTTTATACAATTATTTACATGGCTTTTAAATTTTAAGTCAGTATCAAGATGAAGACCCAGATTTTTGGCAACATCTACACAAGCCACCAAGACACCATCAATACTCACAGATAAATGTTCTGCTAGTTCTTTTTTATTTTTTCCAAAGACGAGTATTTGTGTTTTTGCGGGATTGATAGTTAGCTGATGTCTGTTAGAAAAATTTACGATTTTTATTAATTCTGAGTTAATCAGTTCATTAGTAAGAGCAACATTAAAATCAGACAAAGAAAACCTTATTTGCGTATCATCAGCATATATATAAACTCTGCCATTGGTAAGAGCCGAACTAATATTAGTAGAGTAAATGCAAAACAAAATTGGTCCCAAAATAGAGCCCTGTGGCACACCGCAGGCAATATTTTTAATATCAGATCTACCGGCACTTGTTTCAACAAACTGTGAACGATCGGAAAGATAGTTTTTAATAAATTCAGTTGCTTTAACCGAAAAACCAACATAGTGAAGAATACTGAACAGAAGCTGATGGTTAATTGTATCAAAGGCTTTTGTATAATCTAGAAGTATTAAAACGTTTGTATACCCTTTGTCTATATCCCTAAAGATATCATCAGTGACCTCTAATAATGCTGAAGTACAGCTGTAGCCACGTCTGAAACCAGATTGGCTGATTGGTAAAATATTGTAATTGTTGATGTGAGACTCTATCTGATATTTAATTACTTTTTCCAGAACTTTTGATAACACTGATAAGATTGAAATGGGTCGTAATTCACTAAAGCTACTAATATTGTTCTTTTTAGGCAATGGGAAAACTTTTGTGACTTTCCAAAGGCCTGGAAAAAAAGATTCCTTTATACAGGAATTAACAATATTCGTAATGAAAATTAAAATATACGGACAACACATAAGGAGCATATTAATTTGCAATCCATCAATTCCTATAGCCTGCGTTTTAATTTCGTTTAAATACTTATAGATAGTATTTTGATTAACTGTTGTAAAACTTAGCAAGTTACGGAAGTTGTCTTTAAAATTATTAGTATAGAAAAGAAGTAAATCTTGGTCAGCATCGGCACAGTTACCAGTTGCCAATAAAAAGTGATTGTTTATGTCATTAGGAACATTTAGGTTTTCAGGTAACTTGGATTTTGCAGGTTTAGAATTTATATTTAAATTCTTAAGTTTTTGCCACATAATACGGCTGTTTCTACCAAATGTATCAACGCAATATTTTAGATAACCTTTCTTTTCATTTCTAATAACCACCGTAGTAAAATTTTTTAATTGTTTATAATATTCATAATGTGTCAGATTTTTTGTTTTTTTATACTTGCTAAGGGCATTATCTCTTAATTTTAATAGTAATTTAATATTGTCTGTAAACCAAGGAGGTCTAGGTTTTTTTAGCCTCGTTTCTCGTAAGGGAGCGATTGTATCAAATAAACCAGTTAATAAATGATTAAAATACGAGACTTTATCATTAATGTCCTGCATATGGAAGATTTCTTCAAAGGGGGTAACATACAAAAAATTTTGTAACATATTTCTGTCAACACCTTTTAGATTTCTACTATAAATTATTTCGTCACCTTCATCAATTTCAAAATCTAATATACAATAAACAAGTTGGTGATCTGATGATATATATTTCCTTATTACCGTGACTGAAAGATGTATATTGATTTGAGATTAATATAATGTCAATGAGGCTTTCAGTAGTTGCTGTAATTCTTGTAGGTTCATTTATGACTTGCTGCATATTAAATAAATATATGCAATTATTAAATTTTAATACATTATTACAAGTACTATCTAAAAAATCAATGTTTACGTCACCACCACAAATAATTTCATCAAATTGTGTATAAATGTCGGCAAAAATTTCCTCAAAATCTATTAAAAAACTACTTACACTTTTATCTGGCGGTCGGTATAGATTTCCGAAAGCAAATTTACGATTATCTACTTTGAAACTTACTACTTTTCTACGGTCCATTAACGAAAATCTATAAATTAAAAAAAATATTTTAGCTTATTAAGACAAAATAATTAATTTTAAAATAATTTATAAATATACTGATTTTTGAAATAAAATAAATATGAAAAAAATAAAATTAGTCGCCAGCCGAGAATTGATCCCCGGCTTTTCGCGTGGAAGGCAAGCACGCTATCCATGCTTCTATGATTTTGGTTTTATTACTCGTAATTAAAGTAGTTTCATATATTTTGATTAAAATTTATTTTTTTTTTTTAATTTATGGTTCAAATAAAAATGCCATTATTTACGATTATTTATCGATTCTACTCAAAAATAACTCATTTTAATATTTAATCTCCATAATTAAAGAATATACTGACAATTAGTTTGACAGAATTTTCACTTATTTAAAAGCTAAAAAATCTTGGCAATGGAATTTTTATAAAGATCCACCAAAAGCCCCTTTTTGTGACAAATTGCGAGAGGAATAATTAGTTATCTTAACTTTTATGAAATCAAAAAGTTTGGATCAAAATTGTTTTCTCAGCCCTTGATTTTACTCCTATGGGTTATCGTAATTTATCGAAATAAAGTATATTAATTATTAAAGACTGTACAAAGAATGCTGTAAATTCAGTTAATTTTTAACTGGTTATAATCAACTTAAAAATGTCATTTTTAAAACTATGTTTAACAATAATAATGGATGATTATACAACGAGGTTTACATTTTAACTGTAGTATATGGTACAACCCTCCCTACTGCCAAAAAATGCTACTTTAAATGTTACTTTATTGGAAGTATTGGAGGAGTATTATTCTGCTTGTAATAGCAGCAATAAATTAATGTATTAACCACTAGAACATAAATCTGTTCAAAACATCAAACATTGTCATCTAAATAATACCATTTAATATGAACAATACTTCTACTAGTTCTATTGCTAACCATTTGTTTTTTAGGTACTGCCATTGCCTTTCCCTTATTTACAAAGGTGTTTCATCTCACTGACCTGATGATATTGTTTATAACGTCTTTCGATAAAATTGTGTGCAATTTTATTTTTGGATTTGCTAATACCAGTTTTATGTTGTATGCAGGTATGTAAAAATAGAAATTCGGAAATCACCACTAATACAATGCTTCGTGTATTTGTGAAGCTGTATGTTATCTATATTATATAATCAATTTACATTCACCTTTGCTTTAATTAGAATAATTATTCTGAGAATATAATTTTGTAATTCACCTGAGCTATTGTGGTATTACCGAAGTATACATATTATTAAAAACACTTTTATTTTTGTAGAGAAACTACTTAAGTTGCATCAATATTAGTAAATTCTTATAAACCGGTTTTATTACAATAGTTTTTGTATATTAATAATGTATGCATTTTAATGAAGTTTTAAAATATTGTAAGCCTTAGAAGATCATACCACGATTTATCAAAATGAAAGTAGGATAAAACAGTATAATACGCCCCACTTAATGCTATGTCACGACACTGAATTTGCTACTAAATTAAGAGTTATATTGAGTTACAAATTTAGTTATTAAATTACTAAACTTAAAATAATTGAATCGATACCAATTTTTAGTACTAAGTATAGGCACACGCACATTGGTGTATTATTTCGTGAAATTAACACAAAAGTAAAATTTGACATTAGTTAACCTGACAGCAACCAAATACAGTTTACGCTACTAAAAATCACGAAAAAAAAAACACGATAAATCCTACAAAATCAAACACAAGCAAAGTTTATCTAAAACGATGTTGCAAAGTTGTGGATAACCAAAAATAAAAAGATATTGACATGTCCGTTGTGTCAACTGCCAACTATTTCGATGCATTTTTAGTACTAAAAGTAGCAAGTAGAACAAGTTTAAATTTTTTAGTAACTAATTTTAGTATTGAAATTTGCTGTTTGCAACGTGAATTATTTTAAAAAATATATTAATTTAATTTTAAATTTATAACTTAATTTAGTATCGTGACAAACAGCCTTTAGAAATAAAAAACAATACGCATGGATTTAGTTTGATTTATTTTTATTTTCCACTTTTTGGTCCATCGATTGATTCTGTTGCAGCTTTCCTGGAATTTTTCTAAGATCTTTGTATTATATCGGATCGGCCAACTGCCAATATTGCAGTACCACCCGCTAATGTTTGTATTTTAACATATTATTGTTAAAGGATATCGCTGGTATATAATAAGTAAAGAACCGGTCCTACTACACTACCCTGTGGAATGCCTGCTTTAATTTATTTTTCAATTCGGAGTATTCTTTTTTTGCATTAATCTTAACATTATTCTCGTTAAATGACAAAAGAATGTCGAAATAATGTATAGGGAGCATCTTTCGAACTTTCGAAACCATGTCAAAGGCTTGGGTCACGTCAAGGAATATAGCTGAGCATATACATTTTTTTCTTATGCTTTTTCTTCCTGTGTACTTGATTTATGTTCGAGTGTTTATTTGTATCTGTAACGTGTGAAGGGTCTTAGACCTGGGTAGGCCCATTGTGCCTCTTCTTAATAAGATAGGCACCTGAGCCAGCCTACAGATTTAATGTAGTTTACAAAATAAGCTTCTCTTATATCGGCCGGGGTTAACCAATTCTCCCAGAACACAAATCTTCTAATAAATGAGAGCATCGGGCAATCGTATAGGATATGCTCGATGGTCTCATCTTCTTACTCGCATCCCCTGCAGAGTGCGGGTTCCGCTAGTCCCATGATATGGAGAAGCTTTCGTAGTTGGAAATGCCCAGTCAGAATGCCTGTGATCATGCGCAGATGCTGTCTAGTCATTTGTTTGCTGCAGTGTTGTCAAGATAACTTAAAAGCTTCCTGGCAAGTCTGCAGCTTCTTGTTTCATCCGATTATTCCTTGAATTTCACAAGGGAATGTTATTTAATTAGGTTTCTCACTACCGATGTTGTCAGTACAATAGAGGGCCCAGATCCAAAAAGCATTTGGTTGGCTGCCTTCTTGGCAAGTGAATCGGCAAGACATTTACCTTTCGATAAGGCGTGACCTTTGATCCATTTCAAGTTGACCACATTGTTGATGAATACTTTGGCCAAAGCTTCGTGACATTCTAGTACTAACCCTGAATAAATTCGTGGTCTGTCCAAGGTGAGCTTTGCTTGTCTGCTATCTGTATAGATGAGCATGTTTCTTCCAGTGATATTATTTCTGGTGATTTCTTTTGCTGCTATAATAATCCCCGTGAGCTCGGTTAGAACTACACTGGTACTACTGCTCACAGTCCATTTTATGTTTAGGTTTAAGGATCTGGAGTTTATTCTACATACTGAGTCTTGTTTGGTTTAAGGACCGTCGGTGTAGATATGAATCGTACCTGCCCCTTCCGGCTCTTCTATTTGTTCTATTATAACTTTATATGACGAATAGAAGATATATCTCGGTGAGATGGACTCCATGTTCGCTTGAAGCAGTGGAAGCGTATCGAGCGCATCCTGCCAAAAGCTACATCCTGCCTCACGAGATCCTACTTCAGGTTCTATTCCAACCGTGCGGAGGCATGTCATCAGAGCAACCTCCTTGATGTAAATAGCAAGGGGAGTGAGACTAAGAATAACTTCCATGGCTTTGGTCGGTGTAGTTTTCATGGCTCCTGTTATGTTGAGACATGCTCTTCTTTGAATTTTTTCTAGTTTACGGATAGCTGTCAATTTTTGGGTTATCGCTACCCAGACAACTGTGCCATATATTAGCATAGGTCTTATGATGGCAGTGTAAGTCCCCACGGTTCGGCGGCATTGTTCATAAGCAATGTATGCTCTTTTTACTTTTCTAAGTGTGAGTTCCATGTTAACTTGCTGTCAAAGGTGAGACCTAGGTACTTCATCACTGTTGCAAAGTTTAGCTTTGTGTTTAGGAATTCTAGAGGTTTAAAGTCCATTTTCATTATTTTCCTTGTGAAAAGGACTATTTTTGTCTTCTTGGGATTGATGGACACTGAATGGTCCTTGCACTACTGTTCTACAATTTTGAGAGCTACTTGCATTCTTTCGCAAAGTATCTTCTTAAAATTTCTTGTTTACAGAATAACCAGGTCATCTGCCTACATTATTGTGTAGAGATTGTTATTATTAAGGCGACTGATGAGAGTGTCGAGGACCATGTTCCACAGTGGAGGTGATAGCACCCCTCCCTGTGAACATCCCCTCGCAACCAATCCTCTCATATTCACATCTACACTTATGTTTACTACTCGCTTTGAGAGCATGTTGTGTATCCACCCACTAACCATCTGTGGAACATTCTAGTTATTCAGTATATCTGCCTTAGTTGTATGCATGTTGATTTAGGTGTAGTGGTGTTGTTGTAATTACCACATCCCTTATATACCTTTTGCATAGCCTTTCCAATGTCCTCATGGAAAACGATGTCAGACTAATTGGTCGGTATGTTTTTGGGACAGTGTAATCCATCTTTCCAGGTTTGGGTATAAAGACTACCTTCACCTCTCTCCATTTTTGGGCGATATACCTCAGAGCCAACGAGGATCGGAATATACCTACCAGGTTGCGGTGTGAGTTGTTCCAGATCCCACTAAAGTATCTGGAAAGATTATGTCAGGTCCTAGTGAGTGATTATTTCTAACAACAAATTATTGCGAAAGGATCAAGTTTTTATTTTCAATTATTCGTTTAGGATCTTTTAGTAGGGAATGGGACGTTTCAGGGCTGGGGCGTTTCAGTGCTGGAGCGTTTCAGTGTCGGCACGTTTGAGTGCCGGGACGTTTCAGTGCCAGGATATTGCCATTTAATATATATAAAAAAAATTGTTCAGGTTTTATATTTTATTTTTCTTATTATTTTAAGTCATTCTTATTAAAGTTTATTTTATTTTTTTTAATATTTTTTATTTTGATCTTATATTAAAGTATACAAAAACAGACTAATCTGAGTTGTTACTTAAACAAAAATAATAAATACAATATTGAAACATTTTAAACGTAATTATTAACTAAACTAAATAAGATAGAAATGTGCTTTTTTTGACTAAGGAGTTTTTCTAATCATATTAAAAAAAAGTCTAGTTGTAAGACGCAAGTGAAAAACTAACTATTTTTTTTTTATTTTTTTATTGTTAACTAATATTCTTATTCTTTTGTAAGAGGTAAGGGAAAAACCAACTATTTTTAAAATATTTTTTATTGTTAACTAATATCAAAATATACATAAAATCAACTAATATCAGTTGTTAGTTAAACAAAAACGTTCGGCATTGAAGGGTCCTAGCACTGAAACGTCCTGGCACTCGAATGTCCTGGCACTGAAACATCTCGGCACTGAAACAGCGGCACTAAATCGGCGGCATTGAATCGGCGGCCCTGAAATATCCTAGACCTGTTTTAGTAGTAGCTTTTCAAATAGCTTAGGTATTATTGATAAGGAAGACATGTCTACCTAATAACACTTTAAGGATAACCTCAGTCATTTTCTATGCATCTGGTATATATTTGAGGCAAAATACTGCATTTGTGAATGATAAGGTAACTTTCAAGGTGTGAACCTATTAAAACATGCTTTGACAAATAGTGCTAGTACTACATAATTTTGCATGTGAGTTTACAATCATATTGTTTAATCAACTCTTCCAAAATAAGTCCCCTATACAAGTGCAACAACCAGGAAGTCTAAAGGAAATTTGTTACTGCTGATAGGTCTTTAGCTACTGTTGTCATTATACTATCAGGAAATTAAAGCAGGACTGTCATCAGCCAACGGGTCCTGGAGTCCAGAAGAAACATCCATTAACCAGTGGCAAATTATAATAATAAAACAATTAAATTAAAAGAAATAAAATGATCCCTTAATAGCCCAAGAGCCCACTGCAAATTTTTAACGTCATCTGATAACGAAATGAAATATACCCCAAAAGCATGGAAAAACATTGTACTTTACCAAATGACACTTGTGCCAAACCTAAACCAGAGCAAAGTGGATTAAAAAAAATATTTTATATTAAAAAAATCACATAAGGCATGATAGCGCTAATTTTGTTTGCCCTTAAAGTTTTCCAGAAAATAACATTCAAATATATCTTGATATATAC